CCTTCCCCGCCCCGGCACCACCCCAACTCTGCCCCTTTCCCAAAGTCCCCACCCCAACTCCGCCCCATCCCCTGAATGCTCCGCCCCCTGCTTCTCCCCTGCTTCCCGCGAATCAAATGTTCGCAGGAAGCCTGAAACAGGGAGGCAGGCAGCAGGTAAGCTGGGGCTGGGGGGCGCGAGGAGGCGCGGCCCAGTCCGGGCCCCAGGGCACCGGCCCGTTTGGCCCTGGCCCCGGCCGAGCACCGCCAGCCCCAGCGGCTCCGGCTCCGGCCCCAGTGCGGATCCAAGCCCCACGACCCCTCCCTATTTTCCCGGACATGTCCGGCTTTTTGGAATTTTCCCCTGGACAGGGATTTGACGACCAAAAAACCGGACATGTCCGGGAAAATACGGACGTATGGTAACCCTAGTTTCTCTAATACTTTGGGGTGGGGGGAGAGCAGCTGGTGTGTGGGATAATTGGGTGTTAAGAGCAGTATATTGAAATATAGGGGAGGGAGGAAAGCCAGAAAACATTCCAGTCCAAAAAAGAAACAGAAAAAAGTGGCTTGAAAAACAGTGTGCATTCTAAATAACCTCATCTACAGTCTCTGCTTTGAAGATTGCAAGAAAGCAAAGGTCATGACCCAGAGATCAAAGTAACAGAAGTCAACACAATAATTGCTGGTTGCTTCTCTTGTACCCACACTTGGTCTCTCCGGTGGGTGTATTGTTTGTAGTGAAAACTTCAAACATGTTGTTATTGAACTGTGAAAAATCATCTGGGTCAGAATGTGTTACCAAGCATTTGTTAATGCTGTAGGTGACCTCACCTATTTTCATTAAAGTGAGATAATTGTGAGGGGTGTGCACCGTGTGTGAAGTTTTTAGTACTTGTTCATTCTTCTTTGCTTCTTATTGACGTTTCCTGGAATGGTGCATTCATTAATAGCACTGTTGACATGGAAACAAAGGCAAGTGGAAACAAATGCCTGAGTTTATTTTAAATTAGCTTTAAAAGTACAATATGCTATCTTTGGCAGAGAGGAGTAAATGGTGATAACCTTATAGAGTCCTCTTAAGATACAACCATAAGAAAGGTAAACTATTGTACTACTATATATTTTTTTCCTGGAAGTGAGGTTATGCATGTTCATTAGTCTTCAGGCTACTAGGGTTTGAGGGAAAAAATATAGTAGTACAATAGTTGAAAGGGTCCAAT